ATAATTCTGTCCCATGATCAGCAGTATTCAAGCCAAAGAGATGTCTGTGTGTGTGTGTGTGCCTTCAAGTTGCCTATTGACTTATGACAACCCCATTAATTTTGTAGGGTTTTCTTATGCAAGGAATGTTGTTGTTGTTGTTGTTGTTGTTTTAGGGTGGGGGCAGAAAAAAAGGGGTTGGGGGGTCTGCAGCAGAGCCATGATTGTTGAGTCCCATCTCAGGGGGGCGGCGAATCCAGAGCCGGGTTGAAGGGAATTCTCCAGGTTGCTGAACTGTGTGCCCCAAGTGTTTTCAGCACCTTAGACAGCTCCTGATGCCCCTTGCTCTCACAAGCCACCCTGCCTTCAGAGATGCAATTATTTCATGTATATATTGGACCCCAAGATGGCCCACAACAGATGACCACTGGGGATGACCGCTGCAGTGCCTAAGACTCCCAAAGCAGGAGCAATAAAGTTACTTTCCTCTGGAGGAAGACCTTCTGGGCCACCCAGAATTTTACGGCAGTTACAGACTTCTAGCGAATGGCTTCTAATGCTGCATCCACACTGCAGAAATAATCCAGTTTGACACCGTTTTAACCGCCAGGGCTCAAGGCTATGGAATTCTGGGGATTGTAATTAGTTGTGGCACCAGAGCAAACTACAATCCCTATAATTCCTTAGACTTGAGCCCTGGCAGTTAAAATGGCATCAAACTGGGTTATTTCTGCAGTGTAGATGGACTCATAATCTGTATTTATTGCTGAGCTCAGAGCTTTCAGCAAAACATGCACACTCAGAGTTTGGGAAAGTTATTTTTTCTTTTGAAGAACAACTTTCAGAATCTCGTTTTAATCATAGAATCCTAGAGTCAAAAGGCAACCCAGTGGTCATCTAGTTCACCCCTGACCTAGGGACAGGAAATCACCACTAAACCTCCCAATCTTTATTTTAAAACTTTCCATGAGGAAGAGTCCATTGCCTTCTGAGGGAGGCTATTCCGCAGTTCAACAGCTTTTACCAAAAGGATGCTTCCTTTCACGTTTAGCTGCAAACTCCTTTGCAATTGCAATTTTGCAAAGTTCACCTGCAGAGTGGTTTTAAGCGTGCACAATGCTAGAAATTTGGGGACTGCAGGAAAATTTCATTTGTGGTCCGAATTTTTACTGGGGGAAGGCAATGCTCTACATTTGCAGACCGTTGCCCATGGCTATATCCTTGCCTTGCAATCTCAGCCTTGCTCATTGCTCATCTTACCAGCCATCCTTTTCCCAGGGAAGGAAAATCTGAGCTCAGACAAGCAGGAGACAAGGGTGCGAGTTCAGAGAAGGCCGGACGCAGCTGCAAAGGGGGCCTTTGTTTGGGCAGGAAACCCCCGCCAGGGTCAGGGTGTGTTTGGCCAGCCATACTTTTTCAGAGAAAGTAGTATATAACCCTCAGGAAGTCTTTGAGGTGGACAGAAAGTGGCGTTGCAGATGCGTGGGTCATTGTGTGCATTTGGGTGGCTGTGATGCCGGACGCTGGGGGATTTGCTGCAGACCAGCAACACTGCGGAGACTTGGAGAAAGACAGGAGAGACTTTTGCAAACCTGTTCTTGTTGTTGCGTGCCATTCAGGTCACTTCTAAGTGATGGAGACCTTAAGGCCAAGCTGTCGTTGTTCTTGCATGCCTTCATGGAAGCATAGAGTTGGAAGAGACCCCAAAGGTCCTCCAGTTCAAATAGTTCAAACAGTATCCAACTTAGAGCAACCCTAAGCTGAACTTATCATGGGGTTTTCTTGGTTGACAAGGAGAGTTGCCTTTGCCTTCTTCTAAGGCTGAGAGTTTGTGACTTGCCCAAGGTCAGCTAGTGGGTTTCCCTAGCTGAGCGGGGATTCGAACTCTAGTTCCCAAAGTTGTTGTCCAATTCTATCGCAGAGCTTTCTTGGCAAGAGAGTGGGTCTGCGATTCTCTCCCTTTTGTTAAGCTAAGAGAATGCAATTCTCTCTCTTTTATGAAGCCCATGGTCCCTGAGTTGGTTTTCAGTATGGCTGGATGGGATTCATTGCTAATAATTTGATTTGGGAGTTTTAAAAAAATCTATATGGGTTATAGCCTCTCATTAAAATGGCCCCAGTCAATTCTTCATTCGGTTCTGAGTTTATAAACCTGAGTTGATAGCTCAAGAGCTTGGAAGAATTACTCCTCTAGACTGCAGTTCCCAGAATCCTTCAGCCATCATGACCAATGGTCATGGTGGCTGAAGAATTCTGGGTATAGTCGGCCAAAAAATGTTCTTTTGGTTTGTGTAGGTTGTAGTCCAAAAAAGGAACTTTTCCCAACTCCGGGTTCAGTCCTCCTTTGCTTCCAACCTTTCTCTTCTCCCATCACTCAGTCTTTCAATCCTTGCATCAGAATTTTAACAAAATTTCATTTTAACAAAACCCAGACTTTTTTAAAAAAGAGAAAACGCTGAAAATTCAAGGCGGTGTAGAAATAGGAACCATCTCCAAACCAGTTTTGCTTTATTGAAACAAGACAAGGATATAAAGTTTTGGTAACCTTACAAAGAGATAGATTTTGCTAGAGGCATCCAGGAATAAATCAACTGGGGGGCCGGGGGGAATAAATCAAAGCGGATCCTGCAATCTTCCTGCTCCCCCAATGTCCAAATTTTTGTCCCGGGGTCAAAAAGGAACCAGCCTATTTGGCCCATTTCCTGGCATTAATAGGGACTGTTTCTCTACAAGCCCCCATAATGTCTGCCTGCAGCCATCCTGAACTCAAGACCGGCCAATTCTCAAACATTATTTTCCTTTGCAGGGTAGCCAGGGGCTACTGAAGTGTTATCATCTTGTTATGAATCCATTTTTACTTTCTTTCGTCTAGACAGCCACCCAACCTGGTCCTGAAAGCAGCAAGAGGTTTGAGACAGGGTGCCCGGAGGTCCTCCTTTTCCAGGACATGTCCTACATGTCTACCTTCTGTCCAGGAGGGATCCCAAAATGTCCTCCATTTTGAGCATGGCTAGGAAGCATGAATTTACATTTATATTAGTGTTTTTTAGATTTTATTTGACAATGTCCTACATTTTCCTGCAATGTCCTGCATTGTGCAATGCCATGTCCTCCTTTGCAGTGAGGACATCTAGTCACCCTGGTTCCAGATCACTTTGTACCTCTGATTGTTGAACTCAAACCTGATTATTTCTTGAGCGACTTAAGGTTCCAGACCTCAGTGTGCCTCTCTGCCCCTCTCTTCCTCGCCACTTACTCCAAACTAACTTCTCGAAAACTTTCCCCAAAGGATCACCGACCATGTGAAATTTCTACGCCTCTTCGGACCAAGAGGAAAATCGGCAGAAATTAGAAAGCAAGAGCACATTGGCAAAGAGAGAAAAGTAATCAGAATAACAATCATAATAATAACAACAATTTTGAAAAGCAGATTATTAGAAACACATAAGAAAAAAAGTTTGGCCAGCAAAATAACATGTGTTTTGTTCTTAAGAGCTAAACGTTATTTCAGAACACTTTCATAAAACAAGCAAACAGACATAAAGTAGTCAAACAACGATGGTAAGAAATCTCTTTTAAGTCAGGCTTCCCTGACCTGGCAGGCTTCAGTTATGTTGGACTACAACTCCCATCATCCCATCCAGTGTGGTAAAAGCAATGGTATAGTGGTAAATTTTAAGGCGCAGGTTCTCACAAGGGGAATCGCTGCACCAATGTCCAAAAGTGTATGTGGGGTGTGTTGTCTACAACAACTTTGACCCATCTCCATTGTCAGGAGCGGGTCTTTTGTAAAGCTAATGGGTCTTGCCAACTTAAAGAG